GGGCCTACCCTTGGGAAGCCTAGGGCCTTGGGTAGGGCCTACCCTTGGGAAGCCTAGGGCCTTGGGTAGGGCCTACCCTTGGGAAGCCTAGGGCCTTGGGTAGGGCCTACCCTTGGGAAGCCTAGGGCCTTGGGTAGGGCCTACCCTTGGGAAGCCTAGGGCCTTGGGTAGGGCCTACCCTTGGGAAGCCTAGGGCCTTGGGTAGGGCCTACCCTTGGGAAGCCTAGGGCCTTGGGTAGGGCCTACCCTTGGGAAGCCTAGGGCCTTGGGTAGGGCCTAGGGTAGCCAAGGCCCCCAGTGATCTATACCCTTGGACGCCCCTCTCTTGGCTGCCCCCGACATTCCGATTGGACTTCGGATTACGATTCGGGCGCCGATGATGGTACGCCGACTCGACTCCTCCCGACGCGGCCGCCGGTTGCCCCCGATCCGAGGTGTCTCGACTGCCGATTCGACTTGTCGACTCGATTTTTCGACTGTCGATCCGACTTGTCGATTCGACTTGTCGATCCGACTGGCTTCGACTGACTTGCCGATGCGATGCTGGACCCTCCTGCCCCCGGGGGCAGGACAGGGCCGGGATCCTGGGCCCGACCGTCTCCCCCTGCTCGAGGCCGCTCTGCCGCCGAGCCTCCCCGAGCCCTCCCCCGGGATGTTGCCCCAAGTCGGGCCTGTCCCTCCAGAGGAGGAATATCCCCAAATAGTCAAGCAATAGGCTGGGGACGATTGTTGGAGCAGTTGTTATGGCTATCCCCCTGTGGGAGGACATGCCCGACCTAACCCTGGCCCTCCCGGACGTTGCCGCGCTCCTCCCTCCTCCCCTCGCCTCTCCTTGGAGGGCCCGCGGCCACGGCTGGGCGCGTGTGGCGGCCATGCCGAAGGTCGGCAACAGGGAGGGATCGAGCAGTGACGGAGCGTCCCGGCTTTACTGCAATTGCTGGTAAGGAAAGGAGAAGGGAAGAATTGAGGAGGGAGGAGGCGAGGAGGAGGAGGAGGAGGAGGAGGAGGAGGAGGAGGAGGGAGTGAGGAGGAGGAGGAGGAGGAGAGGAGGACAAGGAGGAGGAGGGGGAGGGCGAGAAGGAGGAGGAGGAGGAGGAGGGGGAGGAGGAGAATCTAGGCCTCCTAGATGGGGTCGGAGTAGATGGGGTCGGAGGATCGCGCCGCATCGCCGATGCATCGGCGATGCGGCTCGATGTGGAGCTCGTGTTTTGCCACGCCGACGTCGCCGATGCATCGCCGATACATCGGCGATGCATCGTTGGTGCGGTGCGATCCTCCGACCCCATCTGCTCGGACCCCATCTAGGAGGCCTCTAAAGATATTCCAAGAACCTGTTGTGGTCTGCCCGAGATGTTCTCACAGTGGGAACCCATGCCAAGATACACCCTGCTTGCCTCCAGCGTGCCCTAGGTTTCTCGGGCTTCGATGCATTTTTCTACGGAACGCGTGACGCTTCCAGCCCAGAAGGCGATGCATTTCCTGGGGTCTCAGGGTTGGGTCTCTCGTGGAAGGTTTCCTGTGTTCGAGCAGCTACTGCAGAAACTCTCTGGCCGATGCTGTTTTGTTTGAGTGCGTCGGGCTCATGTATGTTCTAACGTCAGAAGGTGTTCGCTCTTCGAACATGTAGGGGGTTCTAGGGACATCTCTCTGTTTGAATACGTCGGGCTTGTGTTCTGAGAGCAGAATGTCTTCGCTCTCCGAGGCATGGTGGTCGGCCTATCCTACAGGGAAGCTGGGACGGTCGGCCCCGGCTCAAGAGAAGGAAGGGGGGGGCCGAGGGTCGGGGGCGGCAAAGAGGGGGGGGGGATGCTCGGGGGGGGGGGGGATATCATGGCGGGGGCCATGATACTTCCCCCGATTCCATGGCGCCTCTTCTTACTTCCTCGCGTCCCTGGCCCCCCCGCTGGGCCGCGCACGTGCCGCCGGTCATGACTTGCACCCCCCCCTCTTGGACACCCCCCTCTTGGCCGCTCCCGAGAGGGGAACAACGTCTCCGAGGCTGGAAGGCATCCCAACCAGCGCCCGGGGATTCGGTCTTCGGGGACCATCGTCAGGCGACGGATCCGGACATAGCCCACGATCGATATCATAGTCGATGATTCTCCCTCTCACGATCGGTCTTAACATCGGTCTCGTTATCGATCTCACAATCGACCTCAGGGGACACTATTGGTCGGAGAATGCTAGACCTCCTGCCCTGACACTGCGATTAGCGAGTCGGCCGCTTTCGGTTCGCGGGGGGGCGTCGCGGCCGTCCTTCTTCCGGGTCCAGGTCCGTCGGTTTCGGTCCTGGGCCGTGTTCACTAAGGGGTGGTTTACTACAGGGAGGTTTGTCCACCACCAGACATAGTCGGGCCTCCTGGGCCCAATGAAAGTCCCCCTGACCCTTTGGGAGGAGACCCATGTTAGAAAGGCCAGAACCAGTAGGGACAGGGAGTCTGTTCAGCAAGTGTAGCGAATCCAGCCGCCCATATCTATCATCCCCAGTGCAGGGGCGGGGACCTCAGTTCGGCTACGTCTTCATCGGGTCATCAGGGTTCGGGGATCTCTGATTCTCGATGACTGCCCGCCGCCCGCTGGAGTCCCAGCACGTCGGTCCCCCAGGCGGTGGATTGCATGAATGAGCCCCCGCCTCGCAGAATGCATGCCTCCAGCGGCATCACGTCTTGCTCGCGGGGCCTTCTCGTTCGCTTAGGCTCCGGGGACCGCCCTCGGATGGACCAGGAGCGCAAAAGACTTGCCCTCCAGGGAGGCGGTCGGGAGCGCGAGGGCCCAGGGGAAAAGTCGTGTCGGAGCACGTCTGGGAAGTGGGCCTCCTCCTCCTCCTCCCGCCTCCTCCCCCCCTCCCCCTCCTCCCTCCTCCTCCTCCCCCCTTCCTCCTCCCCCTCCTCCTCGGCCTCCGCCTCGAGGTGCTCCGCCAGTCTTGACCTCTCGCGGTCCTCCCGTGGGCCCCAGGGGCGGTCCAAGGACTTGGCACATGACGGGCAAGTCCCGGGGGGCTGCCCCCGGGTCCACCCCCGAAGCGAAGGCGTGAAGCCTCTCCAGGAGCACAGGAGGTAAGCCCCCCCCCCTCCCGAAGCACGGGCGCTAAGCCCCCCACCCCAAAAAGCACAGGCGCTATGTCCCCCAACGAAGCACAGGCGCTAAGCTCCCACCCCAGAGAAGCACAGGCGCTAAGTGCCCACCCTCGAAGCACAGGCGCTGGGCCCCCACCCTGAAGAAGCACAGGCGCCACAGAGGACCTGTTTCCGCGAACGGTGCTCGAGGCTCCTCCTTGCGTCGAAAGGGACTGGAAGTAACTGCTGCGATCTCTGGTTGCCGTCCTGATCGGTGGCTAAAAGATGGGGTCCTGAGGGATGGGGTCCTGAGGACGTGGTGCTTCAAGCCTCAAACATTGTAAATCCACCCTTGAATTCCTTCCTGCCCGTAGGACCCCATCTCTGGGCCTCCTAGATGGGGTCGGAGTAGATGGGGTCGGAGGATCACGCCGCATCGCCGATGCATCGGCGATGCGGCTCGATGCCGAGCCCGATTTCTCGCCGCCGGCGCCGCCGATGCATCGCCGACGTCGCCGATGCATCGCCGGTGCATTGGCGATGCGGCGCGGTCCTTCGACCTCATCTACTCGGACCTCATCTAAGAGGTCTCTACAAACTGTGCTTGAGGTTCCTCCTTGCGTCGACATGGACTGGAGGTGTCCGCTGCGATGTCTGGTTGTCGCCCTGATCGGTGGTTTCAAAGATGGGGTCCTGAGAGGGGATGGGGTCCTGCGGACGAGGCGCTTCTCACACCTCATGCAGTGTAAATCCACCCTGGGATCGCTTCCTGTCCTCAGGGCCACATCCCTTCCCTATCCCTCTCAGAGCCCTACACACTTCGAACCAACGCCCTGATGCCCCCCACGGGTGGTATAACGGTGCCCTATGATGCCCTACAGTTGAAACCCATGCTAAGAAACACTTTGCTTGCCTCCAGGGTGCCCTGGGCTTCTTGGATTTCGATGATTTTGCTATGGCAAGCGTGACGTCCCCTCACCGACAAATCAGGGGACGTCCTGGGGTCTCAGGATTGGGCTTCTTGTGGAAGCCAGTGGTCGAGCTCCTACTGTAACATGTTGCGGTTTGTGGTTGCCGCTTGGGTGCCTACTGGTTGGTGCTTTTCTGGGCTTGACCCAGATATGGCCGCAGAAACTGCACCACGCGCAATGCACCATGCGCAGGTATCAAGGAACAAAGCACTCGCAGGCGATTGTCCCCCCAACCCCGACGCCTTTTCGACGAAGAAGTAAGCCGCCCAGAAAAGAAGGAAAGCCCTACTATACGGGGCTATTCGGACGCACCCCTATCAAGGATGGACGCCCCCCCGTCGCATATCCCAGGGGTGGTCCCCAGATGTGTGGTGCATTCTGCGACCCCGCGACGCCTGGGATAAGGGTCGACGCATCCCTTGTTGAAACCAGCATGCGTATGAACTTCTTCAGTTCCGCGCAGATCTCTCGGATCCGCGCTGGACCCCCCCGGCGGCAGCCCCCGCCGCCGCCCCCTGACGCGCTCCGCGCGCCAGGGAGGGGCGTCTGGCGCAGGTCCAAGACGTCCGCGCGGGACGTGGCAAACTATGCTTGCTGTTGCCGTTTTCCTCCCTGGTGGCAGCACCGTGCAGGATGGACGCACCACGCACGATGCGCATGGAGAGGACACACAGAACACGCGCTTCGGGGTTCACGCTTGCGCTCCTGGGCGCACGCGGCGCTGGTCTGTCCCGAGGGGGGAGGCCGCTGCGTGGACCCCGGGACTCGCCTCCCTCGGGGCCCTCTGCGCTCATGCCGTCAGAGCGGCGCAGGAGACAGCAGCGGGATCGATTGCACCGACGCTCGCGCGTGAGATGCCCGCGGAGGCTCGCGCGTAAGTCCCCTCGCTTCCACTGCAGCGTGCCGCGCTGGCGGTCCGCGGAAGGCAGCCGCGTGAGGTCGCTATGTCATCGTGCCTGGCATTGCTCGGACGTGTGCATTGTTCCTTCGGCGAGGACCATCGAGGAGCATCCTTGATCATTTGGCGAAAATCACGCACGAAACCGAACAAAACACAGGAAATGGACGTCCGAGCGCTGGCCAGCGTGCGTCAGACTCAGTATCGTTCCACCGATTGTGATCCCCGCGTGGCCACGGCGTCTCGGCCCCACCGTCCCCTCCCCCCAGTTGGGGATCTGCCGCGCGAAGCCCGGAGGGACCAGCGCACGCCCCTGTCCACTGGGGAGGGCAGATCGGCCAGTGCGGCCAAAGCTGCGCCGGGGGGGGTAGGGGCTGGTCAAGCGATGCTCACGGATAGGGGGCCGCAGGCGCACCCCACCCCTGCCCCCCACGATTTCGGAGGGGGAGGGTGGGGTTCATTTCGCTCGGGAGCTCCCGAGCGAGGCGAACCCCACCCTCCCCCTGAGAAGTCGCTGGGGGGCAGGGGTAGGGTCCGCACGTGGCCCTCTGACGGGCCCGTGCCGTCGCGTCGGCCGCAAGGCACGGAACAAGACCGCTGCCATGCTGTCGGACCTGGACGAGGCCAAGGATCGCGCCGGCGCGCCCAGCGGCTCCCTTTTTCCTGGAGGGGAGCGAGCACGCAGACACGAGTCGGCGTCGGCTTCCAGGAGCAGACTGGCAGACACGGGCAGCGGGGAGGGAGGACGAACACCCAGAGACCACATATAGATGGGAACATGTGGGAAGAGCCCCGGGATTTGTGTGCATGTAGTTGCGTGTCCCTGGGCCCCTCCTTCCCTCGCGCTCTCTCTCTCTCTCTCCTCTCCTCTCCTCTCCTCTCCTCTCCTCTCCTCTCTCTCCTCTCCTCTCCTCTCTCATCCTCCTCCTCCTCCTCCTCCTCCTCTCTCCTCCTCCTCCTCCTCCTCCTCCTCCTCCTCCTCCTCCTCCTCCTCTCCTCTCCTCTCCTCCTCCTCCTCCTCCTTCTCCCTCCTCCTCCCTCCCTCTCTCCTCCTGATCCTCCTCCTCCTCCTCCCTCTCTCCTCCTGATCCTCCTCCTCCTCCTCCCTCTCTCCTCCTGATCCTCCTCCTCCTCCTCCTCCCCCTCCTCGTCCTCCTCCTTCCTCTTCTCTCTTTCCGCCTCGGCTGGACTCGCTGCTCTCGGCACCCAGGGGCCAGGCAGGGCCCAATCTCTCGATCTTCCAGCGGCCCGATTTGATCTCTCGGCGTTCGCCGGCCGCTCCGAGGCCGATGCTCAGCGGGTATTAAACACCTCAGCCTAACATATAGAGGAAGCAAAACGCCATAAGCACAAACTTTTGGCGCTCCGCGCGGATTGCTTGGATCCGCGCCTGGGACCCCCTGGCGGCGCCTCTGGCGCCGCCCCTGGCGCGCTCCGCGCGCCTCTGGAGAGGGGTCCAGGCCAGATCCGAGAAATCCGCGCGGAGCGCCAGAAGTTTCTGTTTACGGCGTGCTTGTTCTTCTTCTATAAAATATCACGATACGGCGTGGCCTCACTGAGGTCCGTGTCTTCGCATCAGATCGTCGTCCCCCCCAGGGGGGGCGTGCGCGCCGAGAAATCCTACAGTATATGCGTCGTGGCGGGCGCTTTCTGGCCACACCGCTCGGGAGACGATGTGCTACAAGGTGGGCATGCGATATGTTGGGGTCGGACGCGCGCGCCTCTAAGGAGGACATATGGCATCAGTATGTCTCCCTGCGTCCCCTTAGAGAACACACAGATCTGGGCGGTGCGGCCCGGTGCACCTGCACAGCCTTGCCTCCTATCCTTGATGCTCCTGGCCCTCCCAACTTGGGCCCCCTCCCAAAGGATTATGGGGGTATTTTCTTGCTCAATCCGATGCTGCCATCGAGTCGGGCATGCCCCTCTAGAGGAGGAGTAATCAGAAGCAGTCGAGCAAACTAGTCTGCGGACGATTCCCTGAGCATGTTTGACAATGTTTGAGTATGTGCTGATTTGTTTTCATCATTTTTCGTCCAAAATCCACCTGTAGGGAGACACGCCCGGCCCAATTCTGGCATGCCGAGGCCTCGACGCGGCCGGCTCACTGCATGCCTGGCGCTGCTGCGCCTCGGCCTGGTAGCGCGTCCGTGCAGGTGCGGCCCGACCCGCCGCAGGCCCCGATCCCATGCAGTCCGATCCCCCGAGTCTCGGCGGCGAGAGAGGGGGGGGAAGTGAGAAGGAAAAGGCCTTCTCAGAAGGCGGCGGGACTTCTCGGAAGCCCTTCCGCGCCTTCCGAGAAGTTTTTTTTGGTACTCGGGGAAGGCTCAGGAGACCTTTTTCAGAAGGCCAGGGGACTTCCTGGCCTTTTGAGAAGGCCTCTCGCTTCCCCCCCTCGCTCGCCGCCAAGAGTCGAGGAGGTCTGGTGCCGCCAGGGCTCTGGCCCCCCCCGGATGGGGTCGGAGCTGATGCGGTCGGAGGGTCGTTGCGCATCGCCGATGCATCGGCGGTGCGGCTCTGTGCGGAGCCCAATTTTCTTCGCGCTGGCGACGCCGATGCGTCGCCAGCGATCCTCCGACCTCCTTTTTTTGGGACTCGATGTGAGAGGCCTGCAAGGACGGTCCGCCGCACGTAGGGTGAGAAGGGAAAAGCAGGCGTTCGTCATGATCGGGGTTTTGATCTGGAGCTGGATTGAGATCGCAATCAACGGGCATCACCCAGGAAAGAGTAAAGGACTGGCAGTCGTCGAGGCGAATAGCATCTGATCGAAGAAGCCTACTGCGAATCACCGCCACCGTGCCTGGCTTGTGGGTCGGAGTAGACTCTGGGATGCTCGTTGGGATCTCGCGGGGGGCCTCGCAGGAGGAGGAGCAGGAGGCGGAGCAGGAGGAGGAGGAAGAGAAGGAGGAGGAGGAGGAGGAGGAGGAGGAGGAGGAGGAGGAGGAGGGAGGAGGAGGAGGAGGAGGAGCAGGAGCAGGAGCAGGAGCAGTAGGCGGGGGGGAGGACAAGGAAGGAGGGACAGGAGGAGCAGGAGGAGCAGGAGGAGGAGGGGAGAGAAGAGGAGGAGGAGGAGGAGGAGGAGCGCAGGACCAGGGGAGAGAAGAGGAGGAGGAGGAGCAGGAAAGCAGAGGAGCCGGAGCAGGAGGAGCAGGAGGAGGAGGAGCAAGGAGGCGGATGAGAGGATGAGAGCAGGCCAGAGGAGGAGATGAGGAACATGAGGAGGAACAGGAGGAGTAGGGAGGAGGAGGAGGACGACGACGACGACGACGAGGAGGATGAGGAGTAGGGAGGAAAAGAAAGAGAGGAGGAGGAGGAGGAGGAGGAGGAGGAGGAGGAGGAGGAGGAGGAGGAGGAGGAGGAGGAGGAGGAGGAGGAGGAGGAGGAGGAGAATGAGGGGGGGGGCGCGTGGCGACTGCATCGCGAGCGCCCCAGCCCCGGCCGCGGGGCCCGCCCGCCCTCCCCAGAGGGGGAGGGGGGGGCCTCCCGTCAGCTGTTCTGCGCTGCTGTGCCGTGTCGGTCCCTGCCTCGGGCAGACCCGCAAGGGCAGGAGCACGAGACTCTCTCGTGGTGCAGTCAGCCCGCATTCCGCAGCGCAGGGGCGAGCAGCTTTCCGAGGTCGCCCCCGCATCCTTCCCCTTTCGGCCCATCCTCTTGGCCACTGCTCCGGGCCCGCGCCGGGCTCGCGAGGTGCCGACACGGCCTTCCGAGGCCCCTGCATCCTCCTCACCGCTCGTCCTCGTTCCGCGGGCGGGGCTGCGAGGCTTATTGGTCACGCCGGGACGGGGAGGCTTCCTGTTCACGGGGCGCGGACGGCGCCACGATGGGATTGGCTCGGGATGTGCTGCAGGATCTCCAGAGCACCCAGTGTGGGCGAGATTGTTAACACGTCCAGTGCGTTTTGGGACTCTTTCGGAAGGGGCGCCGCAGGGCCCGGGCGCACCGCACATGGAATAGAAACCGAGCCTCTAGGGGGCAGAGTTTTATCCACAGCCAGTGCGCCACGGGTTTCTGGTCAAGGGAGCCCGAAACTCCAAGCTGCAGTGGATGTAGACAGAAATACTGCCCGCAACCTGGAGGGTTTCTCCGAAGGTCTTAGGCGACCCGTCCTCCTCATCTCTCATCTCTCCTCCTCCTCCTCCTCCTCCTCCTCCTCCTCTCCCCTCCCTTCCCCTCCTCCTCCTCCCCTCTCCTCCTCCTCCCCTCCTCCTCCTCCTCCTCCTCCTTCTCCCCTTCTCCTCCTCCTCCTCCTCCTCCTTCTCCTCCTTCCCCTCCTCCTGCTCCCTCCTCCTTCTCCTCCTTCCTCCTCCCTCCCCCTCCTCTCCTCCCCTCCTCCTTCCCTCCTTCCCCTCCATCCTCCTCCCCTCACCTCCTCCTCCTCCTCCTCCTCCTCCTCCTCCTCCTCCTCCCTTCCGCCCCTCCTTCCTCCTCCTCCTCCTCCCCTCCTCCTCCCCCTCCCTCCTCCTCCTCCTCCTCCTCCCCTCCTCCTCCTCCTCCTCCGACCCCTCCTCCTCCTCCCCGCTCCTCCTCCTCCTCCTCCTCCTCCTCCTTCCTCCTCCTCCTCCTCCTCCTCCTCCTCCTCCTCCTCCTCCCCTCCTACTCCTCGCCTCCCCCTCCCCCTCCCCCTCCTCGCCCTGCCCTCCTCGCCCTGCCCTCCTCGGGTCGCCTGCGGCCCCGGGGGAAGCCGTCCACCGCAGCCCAGCGGCCCGCGTCTCCGCCGCCCGTGGGGAGCAGCTTCGGGAGGGCCTCGGAGGCCCAGGAACTCCTGCAGCGGACCATTCTCTCGGGGCCTCCGCCTCGGGGCATGCCGCGGGAGCGAGCGCCCGCAGCGTCGGGTCGTCAGGGCCTCCTCCTCCTCCTCCTCCTCCTCCTCCTCCTCCTCCTTCTCCCCCTCCTCCTGCTGCTCCTCCTCCTCCTCCTTCTTCTCCTCCTCCTTCCCTTCTGCTTCCTCCTCCTCCTCCTTCCTCCTCCTCCTCCTCCTTCCTCCTCCTCCTGCTGCTCCTCCTCCTTCTCCCTCCTCCCCCAAACACACACACAGAGACACAATGAATCGTCGACTCCCAGGAGAAGATAGTATGGAGGACACGTGGGATGCGGCGGCGGGGGGGGGTGGCGGCGGCCGAGGGGGGACAACGAACACCCAGAAGACAGCACGGAACATGTGCGGGGACTGTTCGGATGTGTTGCTGCTGTTGATGATGATGTTGATGATGTTGGTATTGATTATTATGTGTTGTTGGTGTTGTTGTTGTTGTTGTTGTTGTTGTTGTTGTTGTTGTTGTTTTTGTTATTGTTATTGTTATTGTTATTGTTATTGTTATTGTTCTTGTTATTGATATTGATATTGTTGTTGTTGCTGATGATGATGATGCTGATGATGATGATGATGATGGTACTGCTGATGCTGATGCTGATGCTGATGCTGCTGATGCTGCTGCTGCTGATGATGATGATGATGATGATGATGATGATAATGATGATAATGATGTGATGATGATGATGATGATGAGATGCTGATGATGAATGATGATGATGATGATGATGATGATTGATATGTTTGTTGTTGTTGATGATGTGTGTCTTGTCTGTGTGTCCCTGTGCCCTTGCACAGCTTCCAGGGGGTGGGGGGGGG